ACTGTTCGTCAGTCATGTTTGAATCTGTTTTACTCTTTCCATTAACACTTTTCTTATATGACTTCTCTTTCTGATCTATTAGTTCAGGAATAGATTTGGCTTCCTGCTATAACCTAAATAGTTGCAGCTCTTCCAAGTGAGGTGTAATCTGAGAAAGGGAACAAAGACAAGCATCTTTACGCATTGAGTTAAAATAGCAAGTGATTTGGTCATTTTGCCTAATAGGCATGACTCATATACCTCATAAGACTGGAAGTCATATGGGTCCAAAACTTTATCTTTTTGGAGCTTTGCAATGCGAGTTTGATCCTAATCTACAATGTCAAGGATACGTTTGGTTTAGATCACCATATTTGGCTTTCTTGGTTTCTAGATTAAGAAATTCCTTACTATTTAGTTCTAGAACATATAAACCATTATGTAAATAAGCAGTTCTGTAAAGCATACCATTTAAACTAAAAGACATCAATCCATTTGCAATAGTAAAATGGTATCCTTGTTCATCCAAAATGGATATGGAAATAAATTTATTGTTTGAAACTATTGGAAAATCATAACAATTTAATAGTTCTAAAACTAGGCCCGTAGGCAAAGATAAGTAATAAGTTCCTAAGGCTAATTCAGCAACATGTGCTTCATTCCCAACTCGTAGGTCCACCTCTCCTTTGGTGAGCAATCTACTCTACTTTAGTCCCTACACATTAGTACAAATGTGAAAACTATATCTAGAGTCTATGAACCAAGATGTAATAGAACATGGACCGATCTCAATCATAAACATACTTGTCGAAGAAGACGTTGACTTCCTCTTGTTTGTTAAGAAAGCCTTAAAGTGTTTCCTCTAGTGGCCTGGCTTTCCACAATAGAAGCAAACAACCTTCCATTCTTACTAATGCCACCAAAAGACTTTAGAGCATCTTAGGACTTGGGACTTGGGCTTTGGTTTGGGCTTGGCCTTAGCCTTAGCCTTACCCTTGCCTTTGCCCTTCCCTTACCAGTGTCAACAACAACTAATATAATTGGTTTAGACTTCTTGATGTATTGTTTAACATTCCTAAGCATAGTCAAGAACTCAGAATGGGTTTTCGTAATTCTACTCATATTGAAATTCATTATGAATGTTGCAAACGAATTAGGCAAAGACTGCAAAATCAAGTCAATTTACAAATCAGCATCTATGCCAAAACCCAAAGTCTTAAGTTTCTCAATGTACCCAATTATCTTGAGTACATGAGAACCAACTAGGGTACTCTCTGATAATCGACTCCTATACAAAGTCTTTGACACCTCATATCTCTCACAACAAGCTTGTTCTAGGAAAAGCTCCTTGATATGATAAATAATCGCATTAGCATCCATCTTTTCATGTTGCTTCTGCAATTCAAGTGTCATCAATGTTAGTATAATACATTGAGTAGTATTATTTTTGGTAAGTATCCTTGACTTCCTGAATGGCATTAGGACCCGGCTCAGTTGGATAGGGCTCATGATGATATATAGTTTCTTTTCTAACTTCAGTACAATCCTTAGATTTTGCTACCAGTCAGTGAAATTTGTACCATCCAACATGTTTTCTTTCTTGATTATTGATTGTAATGAAAGGTTACTGTTGCTCATTTTAGTATGAATCTACAAGTGCAAAATAAATAAAGTTAATATCATGTTTATTTTAATTTATTTATTTAGGACTTTAATTAAATTAAAGACTCCTACTATTTTACTCAAGCTAATAGCCTTCTCTATTAAACTGGGGAAGACCCGTTTATCTTCCTAGTGGGTCAAGATTGCATCAACTTCATTTTCAACTTCCGTTGAGGCAAACAAACCAAAATGGATCCATTATGTAGGTCAACAAACTTGATTTACACCAATCAACGGTACCAACCAACGCCCTCAAATGCAAGTCATATCAATTATCAACAAACCAATTACACAATTTAATGGCACCAACCATTGTCCTCAAGTGTAATTCTTGGATCAATAGAGTGGATACTACTTGCCCCACGTACACAATGTTGAACAAGCAAAATATGTTAGTTAAAGTCAAACCCATCACTATTAGGGAAAAACTCCAATGAATCTTAATCTTCCATTGATTAAAGTATACCCTTCGTTGAGGCAAACAAGGTCACGACGAACAATGGTTTGATTAAGACCATAGTAATGGAAGGCATTGGGTTATTATTTTGACTTAATATCATTTAATTGAGGGGGTTTTATTAGGTCTCACTATTCGTTTTTGTAATCATGTCAATAAAACATTCACCCTTGGCATGCATACTAAGCTTATATAAAATGTGTTGATACATGCCCTAACTAAAATCGATCTCCTTAAGCCTTGAAGGATCGGTGAGTCAACCTAGGATCAAATGCAAAACATCTTGAGTCTTCAAGCTTGCTTGCAACTCCATTGCTCCATCGCACCATCATCACGTACATTACAATATTTCAAAATTAAATTAAACCTAATCTAATTTTACATAATGAAATCAAAAACCTCGAGTACATTCCAGGGGAGTGAGATGAGAGAATGAATTTACATAGAGAAGATGGAGAGAGGCAAGACACACAGACCCTATTATATTTAAAAATATTACAACCTAGAAATAAAATGCATTATCAAACACCATAGGTCTAAGGCTCATGTATCGAGGGCCATGCAATTTCATATACTAGAACATTACATTCAATCAATCAAAAACATATTTTGATTTGGTCTATAAAATATTGTTTACCCTCTTTATAATTTGTAGAATTGATAGTCCAATAGTTTTTAAACTTTGCAGTTTAATCCATGTTCATGAACGTCAATAATTGGGCCACGAGATTATCTCTTTATGTGCTACAACACATTGTCAACCATCATGCAAACTTCACTGTTTTAAAAACCGGACCGGACCGGGAACCGGTCATGTGTCCAGTTCGAGTCAACATCAAACCCGTTATTATGCATTAAACCACTTTAACCCAGTCAAAACCCGGATAAAGTCAATGAACCACTGGTCCAACCAGACCGACGGATAAACCGATCTGATTTCAAAAACCCCTAACCCTACGCAAATGCACTATCGCGCAACCCATTCCATTGATTTCCTTTCTCTGTTTCTCAGCTTCTTCTCTTCCTCAGTTTCTCTACTAAAATTTCTCAGATTTCTCAGGTTCTCTTCGAAAATTTCTCTCTGAAATCCCACTCAAATCGCAATCAACTCCACTCCCTAAATCTGAAATCAGAACCATTCGACATTCACCAAATCGCAACTGAACTCCCTCACCAGAAATCGACGACGTCTTCTTCCCTCACCGGAAATCAAGCTGAGGAGGGGTAGAGGGCAGCAGTGTTGAGTCGTCGCTCATAGTGAGGGTAGAGCACGAAGACGTCGTTCACTGCAAGGGGAGAGGACAACGACATTACTCACGGCGAGGGAAGAGAATGATAGCGTCACTCACAGTGAAAGGGAGTGGACAGTGGCATCATTTGCTGTGGAGGAAGAGGACGGTGGTGCGACTGATTGGGAAGGGAGGGGACGACAGCGATTTGGGTAAAATACGAAGGGTAAAATTAATTGACTTTGTGTAGTAGTAGCTTCGTAAAGGAATCTGTGTGAAACTTACGAGAGAAAAAAGGTTATATAATAAAACAAGAAGAAGAAGAAGAGAGTGAGATCATGTGAGTCCCACTTTTCTTCTCTCTCAACTCTTATTGACTGTATCAAAGTCCTACAGCCCACACCTGTTGGAAGGGGCTGACCCGTGAGTGATATTTCCCATACTAGTGTGTGATAATGATCTTAAAGCATGTGCTTATTGTCACGGGTTAGGAGTTTCACACCCAAAAGGCTAACCTGTTAGGTGGAGGGACTCCTCCCATTTATAAGCCCAAGACCTCCCCAATACGCTTTCAATGTGGGATTTGTTACATTATGCTATTATAATATAAGACCCCTAAGCTTATATATAATAAATAAGTATTTGAACATGACATTATTCCTTTTCAAAGATTGTTTACGATACGGCACAAGAAATGCAACGCTCCATTTGTTTTGTTCTTAATTAATTACGTTAGATCGTCCATATGCTATGGTGGTTTTTCGTTGGGTGGTGCGTCACTCATAGTGAAAGGGAGTGGATAGTGGCATCATTTGCTGTGAAGGAAGAGGACGGTGGTGGAACTGATTGGGAAAGGAGGGGACGACGGCGGTTGAGAGTGGTTTTATCCTCTTCCTTTGCATTTCGCTGTGGGGGAAATGGGGATTTCGACTGAGAGTAGTGGTGGAAGAGGAAGAGGATAGACGATGGTTGAGATTAGCAATGGGGTTGTGACTTGTGAGTGATGGTGGAAGAGGATAGACGATGGTGGTGGTTATGGTTTGTTATTTGAAAGGGAATTGGGGATTTTGATTTAGTGAACCCCTTTGTAAATATAGTCTTTTTGTTTTACAAAGGTGCTCTGAACTTGTTGCTGTTATTGGTATTATGAGTTTCAAGTCATTTTTAGTTTTGTTAAGTTGTACATCAAATGTTTACAATGTCTTGTTGAGACAATCTATGGAATAAAAATTTTCTTTTTGGGTATTTTGCCATATTTTAATTTCTCTAATAACTGATTATTATTTGCACAAATTAGATGTCTACTCTCTAATAACTGGTTATTATTTACACAAATTATCAATTTAAACTGGTTTTTTTAAATGTGCTGACATCATCATGTTGTGTGATAACATCACCGGTTCAACCGACGGTCCAACCGGTCTTTTAAATGTACTGACATCATCATATTGTGTGATAACATCACCGGTTCAACTAACAGTCCAACCGGTTGGACCGGTTGAACCATGACCGGGGCAGTAGAACTAGCTGCCTTCCGGTCTGGGTTTTAAAATAGTGGCAAACTTACGTGCATCAATCATCAACCCAAAAGTTTGGTCCACATGTGCCATTACGCGGGCTGCTCGTAAAAGCTCTCGTGCGCAACAACGCACATGGGCAGCCGCTATTTTATTACTTTAAGATGTGTCCTTGCTTATGGCACAAATAGCAAGTCAATTGACTCACTATATTCTCAAAAATCCACAATTTACGAGCACACAGTCTGACCACACGCACCAACATGCAGTCAAATTGGTTGCTCGTAAATTGAGCAAAACCCTTTTGCTGCATGAGTGGAAAAACCCGTGCATCCAACTCCGATCAACCTTGTCACATGCAACAACACGTGGATGGCGTCCCCAAACCTGTTCGCACGCTACAGCACGCGAGGGAGCAAGTTTATGCGGACAGCCTGATTGCTACCGCAAGCGGGTCTGCTATAAAAACAACGCCGCGAACAATCTCATCATCTCACTTTAGTGACGATGTTAAATGGTCCAATTATATAATGACTTGTATTTGCCATGTATATGTTAAAATCTCTTTCATCCAAGTGTTGGCATTATTCAAGAATAACCATCCGTTATCATTCTTAATAAGCACCACCACTCCAGGCAAATTTGAAATCTTGTTCTATTGAACTATCTCACCCCGTTAGTAACATGGGGTCGTGAGACTGTTCCCCCACCTGCACATAATTCATGTCATGTTATTAACAAGGAGGTGGTGAAAAATCTACAAAATGGAGAAATAGGTAAAATATGACCATGCTAGAGAAATATTTCACAAATTTGTATATAATTTTCTCTACTTTGAAAGGTAGGTGACAAGGAAATGAATTCTACCTTTTTCCCATCAACCATTATTGCGCTCCCAGGCTCTACTGGCGCTGAGAGGCGAATTCCCCATAATCTCTGCTTAACTCCATCATATGTTATGAGCCTAGAAATGGTCTCTTGTCCCTTATAACATCCTGAGATTGTTTAAGAGTCAGGTCAACCTTCTTTTTATCTTGCTAAATGTATGTTCAGTAAAAAATGATACCTTTGGTTAGAGAAACTGAGTTCCAGAGACCAGCCTCCAGAACATTGAATTCATTAGTAAGCTCCTTTCCAGGTGTTGGCCTCCCTGCGAAAAGCAAGAAAAATGCCATCACAATGCCTTTCTTAAAATGCAAACTAAATGTTGTTTGGTTGAGAACAGATACAAATTTTCGAACATAAACAACCATCTAAACTGAAAAGCAACTTGCTTACAAGCTTTTTGTACCATTTAAGTTTCCCCCATGATTTAGGCAACAACTGAAAATGCTGAAGAAGCTAAATCTTTTATCCTCATATTATTGTCCAAGCAATCAGCAAAGACTTTAAATGCATTACCCGNAATTATCAAGTTCTATATATATTTATAGTAAATTAGTAATTAATTAATTATATATGATAAATTGATAAACATGAGTACATTACTAGTTAAATTATTACTTAATTAATTATAATATTATATTATAAACATTAGTAATCTACTACATTAATACATTACTTAATTAAATGATTAGAAATTTAATTAACTATAACATTACATTATAGATTTATAAATTTAATTAATTATAACATTACATTATAGATTTATAATACGATTACTTAATTAATTATAACATTACATTATAAACATTACTAACTTACTGCATTAATTTTATGTGAATTGTGATGAATTAATTAAATTCAAGTGTTGCCTAGAGATTAAAAGATTTATGAGTTACATTGAACACAAATGAATGAGTAATCAAAAGTTGAAAACTACTAAATGCAGGTTTTCTTAATTTGTTAGGGGTGCATTTGTAAACTTTTAAGATGTTTTTGTCATTTTTTTAAACTAATAGAGGGGTAATTGATTTTTTATAAGGTACCCGAGTAAAGAACCAAAACCTGCATTTCATTTCAGATTCTGCTTCTAGGAATTTAAGAATTGGAAATAACAGGTTCCAATTCCCCCAAAAATTGCAAGATACCCGAAACTGCTCACCCTTGTTAAAGACTATTTATCATGTTTCAAGTAGGCTGCAAGAGCGTGAATGGTCAACAACCAACTATATATCAATCTACACATTGACAACCGTAGGAAGTTACACAGTTGTGCATTATTTGATAATGAACTTATACCGCAATGACAAATCATTGTCTTCTAGTTCTTGTTCAATATGTCAACAATGTGGAGTAATAGCATTGATGGCCATGAATTCCAAAACAATAACCTAAGTTTTAATATCTTAATTTAATTATTTTAAAATAGTAAGCTATAAGGGTAAAATATAGAATTTTAAACAAGGGTAAATTAGTCATTTAAACCCATTCCGATTTTTGATTACTCTCAAAAGGAGCAGAAACTGAATGTGATGTTGAGAAGCCTTTGGCTAGGACTAGAGGTGGAAAAGCAGCCCGCCCGGCCCGACTCGCGGCGGGTTGTGCAAAGTGGACCGACCCGCCCGCCAACATTGGCAGGCCGGGTTAGGCCCGCCAATGTTGGGGAATTGGCTGGCCCAACCCGGACCGCCAACCCTAACCCGCCAGGTTAGGCCGCAGGTTGGGCCGAGTTAACCCTCTTTTTGTTTTTTATTTTGTTTAAGTTTAAATGTTTAATTAACTTTTCAAATGAATAATTAACAATTTATAAATGAATAAATGTAATTGTTTTTAGTTAAGTGTTAACTTCTTTTCAAATATCAATAATTAAATTAAATAAAATTAATTTTTTTTTTGTTAACATTCTAAATATTAATTCAATTTTAATACATTAAAATTGTAATATAAGAAAAATTAAATTTATTCATTTATTAAAAAATAAAATAAGAAATTACAATAATTATTGCCTCGTTAAAAACCTCACCAAGAAAAACCCAATGGGACAAAAACTTGGTAAGGAAAAAAGAGTGCAATAATTGACAATTAATTTACAAGTTACAATTTACAAAACGACTAATTTTGGGGTTCACTAGGACCTCTCTCATCCGTATAATCTATATTACAAAATTGAAATGATTCTATTAAAGTATCGTCGACAACCTCGTATTGACCTTGATGGCGCGACAGTTCCCAATCTCGAAGATATGTGAGGGCTTCAATCATTTTTGGTGAAAGTTTAGTCCTCCTTTCATTGAAAATTCTTCCACTTGCACTAAATGTTTGTTCGGATGAGACGGTTGAGACAGGAACAGCGAAAACATCCAAGGCAAGTCTTGATAATACCGAAAAAATACATTTTATGGCGCTCCAATAGTCTAAGAGATCAATGTTGGCTCTCTGTTGTGGATCTACTGGTAACATTTCAGGGGTTGCCAAATATTGTTGAAGCTCATTACTCTGCGACTGCATGGAAGACAGTACATTAGTTGTTGTTGTTGGTGGAGCTTCTGAAGAGGAGATTGTGCTTCGGATTCGGGTCCTCTTCGGCCTATTCAGTGCACCCCAAGAGTAGAAGTCTTCATTTGTTTCTTCTTATGTAACTTCCTTGGATGTTTCGCCTCTTTGCGGGTTCCCATACCTGTTTTCATATTTGAAATATACTTCGAAAAGTCTATTTTTTACCTCTCCTATTTGATTGGCATATACGTCGGTTTGTAAATTTTCACATAAATTGTCAAAACCATTTTCTAAACCTGCTAATATAATTATATGATCAAATATAGCACTTAAACAATAAAGAAAATGAATGGGTTTCCAATATTTAAAAAAAAAAAATTATATTGCCTTTATTGGTGCATTTAAAATTTCATTGTCTTTGTTTTTTATAAATAATTCGGAAATTTTTATAATTGTATGTATTACCAATGGACTAGTAGGATAATACATACCAGAAAGTTGTAAAGTGGATTGGTAAAAATTTTTAAGAAAAGAATGAAATATTTTAGTTATTTGCTAATCATTTTCTACCAAATAATGAGGACCTCTATTATTTGCTACAAAATAATTAATTAAATTAGTATAAGGTAAACATAAATCAAGCATTAAACAAGTACTATTCCATCTAACGGGCATGTCTAATGCAAAAGTTCTAGAAGACATATTTGATTTTATACAAGCGTCTTGAAATTCAGCATTTCTTTTATTACTACTAGTAATCCAAGCTAAACAATCTCTAATTCTATTAATATTTTCTTTAATTGTTTTCATACCAATTTTCACAATTAAATTAATAACATGGCATGCACAACGTTGGTGAAAAAACTTCAAATTGTTATATAAAAGATAATTACTTTGAAAATAATCTATAGCTTTATTATTAGAACTTGCATTATCTAAAGTTAAACTTATCACTTTACTAACAATATCATAATCTTCTAAAACTTCAACAATTTTATTATACATTTGTTCACTAGTATGATCAACATCCATTAATTTAAATCCTAATAAAGATTTATTTAATTTATATTCATTATCAAAATAATGACTAATCGCACAAATATAATCTTGTTTAGCTCTACCACTCCAAATATCGGCAGTTAGAGCCACACTAACATGACAAGTATGTATTTTATTTTTTAATTCTAATTTCATTTTTCTAAACAATTTTATTAAATCATTTTTAGTTGCAGTTTTAGAATAACTTTTAAATCCTAGAAAAAATGAATTTTGAACAAATCTTTCAAAATATTTATCTTCAACCATATTAATAGGTTGATTAGTTGCAGCAATACATAAAGCTAATTGTTCCCTATATACATCAGAATTATAACATCAAGTAGTACTCATATTAGTTATTTGAGTTTGATTGCTTTCTCTATTTCCATTAGTTATTTGAGTTTGATTGCTTTCTCTATTTCCATGTTGATTAATATGTTTATTAATATGCATTTTTAAAGTACTAGTACCATTACATGAATTAGCTTTATAAATATTTCCACAGTATTTGCATCTTGCTTTCTTGACTTGAACGCCATTTTTTGTCTCGTAAAACTTGTCAAAATACACCCAAACGTCTGATGTGTGTCTGTCTTCGCTTTCGACGGCAATTTTTGATCCCGCCTCAGCTTGAGATGAAGTTGGACGAGCACGACGATTACGAGGACAACTTCTAGAACCATCGGGAGCTGTTGGAATCAGGGGCATATTTTGAAGTGTATCGGATTCTGAGAATGGGAAAGCAAACTATTTGAATTTTCTCATGTATTTATGTTAGTAAAATCAACGGGACTAGGACTAGAATAGTAGTTTCATTCATCATTGTAATTGATGAAAGAGAAATATCTATCCATTGTAGTTGAAAAAAAAAATTGATGTAAAAGAAATAAAAATTAAAGAAAGAGAATTGGAATATGAAAATTGGAATTTGGAAAATTGGAAATATGAATTAAAAATTGCAAAAACTAATAAAAATTAAAATACGAACAAATTAATAACAAAGAGATTATGAGAATAAATGAATAATTGAGAGATTAGAGATTAGAGAATTTGAGTTGTGAGAAAAATGTAAGAGTTTAAGGTCAATTTATAGAAAAAAATGGGAAAGAAAAATGACGAAAAAGACCTCTCCAATGACTAAAAAACGACTGTATTTCAAGGGTAAAAAGATAATTTAAAAAAACAAATTAAATTTTAAATTTTATTTTTATTTTTTTTCGACCAACCCGCCGGGTTGGCAACGGGTCAACCCAACAGGTTGGCTGTTACCAACCCGCGGGTCAACCCAACGGGTTGACCGTTATTGTATAACAATCAACCCGACGGGTTGACAACAGCCAACCTGGCGAGTTAGCGATCCTTTTTTAGAAGGGACAAAACAGCAACCCGTCGGGTTGCCATTTTGCAACTCGACCCGCCCAGGGGTTGCTACGAGGTTGGGTTCAACCTGGGGTTCAACCCTCTTCATTGCGGGCCGGGTTAGGGTTAACCTGCCTAACCCGACCCATTTGTTCCACCTCTAGCTAAGACAAGACTTGTGACATTGTTGTTCACTACATTACAAGATAATATCAATGTTGCCATCCAATAAATTCATTATAGAAAAAACTATTTAATTGAGTTTATATAATACAACACTAACTATGTAAATTAGAAGCTGGCACCAAACAATAAGCATTCAGAAGACTCTACAAAGAGTCAAGTTTGCCATGCAAAAGGAAAGCTATCTCCGCTCATGGTTTCTCCTTGAACCTGGTGTTGACCTCCCAGAGCTTCTAGATTTTGTATCTTTATACCTATCTTCATCTTGCTCTAGTGTTGACTTTTGCTTACGCAG